CGGCTCCCCTCACCTCCGCTTTCATTGAAGAGAATGTTCTAGAAAATCCTGCTGGCCAGTGAACTATTGCTGTGTGGAGGTGACTGCATGCTCTTCTTTCTGGTTCTCATCCCTCCCTGCCTAGCTCTGTCCTCCCCTGGAGCTGAAGAATCCAGCAAGGCCCAGCGAGGGAAGTGAATGCAGGGGCTGAGGAGAGAGGTGGGGAAGGGAGAGAGAAGGACAGGGAGAAGACATCCACCTGGGGGGCACGCTGACTTGGCCCTGCAGCCATCCTGGTGACTTCAGCTGGGGAGGGGTCCCCTAACTGTCCCAGGTTTGAGCTTTCCTGTCTGTCTTGGACTTGGGGGGGCTGGTCTGAGGGCTCCAGGCCCCCCCACCCCAGCTGGCCCTGCCCTCCCCTGCAGGCAGCCCCGTGGGGGAAGGGAGGATCAGCCTGCACTCCCCTCCCGCCCCACCCCCAGCCTCTGCTCTTGGTGGCTCCTTTCACTCGGTATTTTTACTTTTCCCTTGTTCCTGTTACATGATCAAAGGAAGGAGGGGAGGCTAAAAGAGGCAGCATTTGCCCAGCTCTTGGGAGAAGCTCAGAAAAGGCAGGCCTGGTAGGGCTGCGGGTGGAGCGGGACCCGCTGTAGTCGGGCTGGGACCCAGTCCCCTGGAGGGAGGCCTTGTGGGCAGTCTGACCAGCTTGGGGCAGGGCCTGGGTCCCCGGGGTCTGGATTCTAATGCTGCAAGTATTTGCCTTTCTCCCCATTGAGGCCTCCTTCCCCTATGTGGCCCCTGTCCTTCCCGTGTGACTGTGTGTGTGTGTGTGTGTGTGTGTGTGTGTATACATGTGCCTGCGTGTGCACACTGCTCGGCCCAGAGGTGCTCAGGTTTCAAGGACAAGCCCGTGTTGAGCCGTCATGAGGGATCTGGGAGTCTGAGCAGGGCCCGACTGTCAGAAGCTGCTGTGCATGGGCCTCCCAACCTGGGTCTGCCCTCCTGCGGCCTTGGCACACGGCTGTCATGATGCCCCAAATCCCTCCATCCGAAGTTCAGGAAAACCAAGCCTGGGCCCCAGGATGAGAACTGGGCAGGGCCTGGGAGACCCTTCGTGCCAGCGTGGCAGAGTGGTCAGGGCGGGGACAGCCTGCACAGCTCTGTCCCTGGCTATATGTCACTGTCCAAGGTTTGGTGCCTCAGCGTCCTCGTCTGTGAGATAGGAATAAAAATACCACCTAGCTCCTGGCGATGTGAGCATGACCTGAGAAACCGTAAGCAAAGCACTAGGACGAGGCCTGGCACATGGCAATATGTTGTCATTTGCTGCTATTTCTCCATGGGGCACTGTTGGCATTTGGACAAGACTGTTTCCTTGTACATCCTGTCCTACCCACGGCATGTCTGACCCCTGCCTGGACGTAGGCTAGTAGGTGACTCCCTCCCATCATTGTGACAACTGAAAATGGCCCTGCTGTGACAGGACGGCCCCCAGACTGGATCTTATTCCAACCCACCCATTTTACAGATTTTGAAACTGAGGACTCTCTAGGGGACATGCTCGCCTCCAGCAGGACGGCAGCAGGACTGTGGATCTGTCTAAGGCTCCTCCAGTTTCTCTCTTCGGAATTGCCTAGTAGTACTGGCATCAGCATCTGGTACCCACATCCCCTTCCTCCCCACAGCTGCCCGGGAAGGAGATCTGATAAACTCACGAAGGTGTGAGTGATGATGACAGTTGCATTCAGTAGCCACTCGCCTCCCCTGTGTTGGAACAGCTCTTAAGCTCTCTCCACAGCACTGACCCCCAGCCCTTGGTCAGGCGCTGGGTTCTGGCTTCAGGGGTGAGGGTGGTATTAGGAAGCTTTCCCGGGGTCCTCCAGGGCTCCCTCAGTGGGACTGGTGCTGGCTTTGGGTCCTGACCCATCCTGACTTGCTGTGTTGGGAGGGTTATGTGATGCCTCTGGGCTACTGGTTCACCTGCAGAATGGGGCTGAGGAGGAGTCATAGCCATATTCTTGGCCTCTGCGGAGCTAATGGGGAGGGAGCGTTTTGATGAGGGGGTGAGATGTGAGGCGAGGGTCCAGAAGGGGCTTGCTGGAGAAGCCCAGGAGCCGAGGCTGGACCCTGGGGCGCCAGCCCCTCCCCTCCCCCCCCTTTCCCCAGAGTCGGAGCAGTCAGGGCCTCTACAGGGGGATTCCAAGGGGGGCGGGGTGGCTCTGGGACCACTGCTTGGCCTTGGTGGAGGACCACGTCTCCAGGGAAACCTCCCAAACCAGCCACAAGCCCCTCTTCCAGACGGCTGAGGAAACTGAGGCACAGAACCAGCAAGTGGCTTGCTGGTCTTCACTGACGAGACCGTGGGGCTGGGGGCCTCCGGGTGGGCTCCCCGGCCAAGCCCTGACTCAGCTTCCAGCCCCTCTCGCTGTGGCCTCCTAAGTCCAGGGGAGGGAAGCTGCTGGCTTTGAGCAGGGAGGCTGGGGCGCGGGAAGGAGTCCCAGGGGAAATTAGCCCAGATACGCAGTGAGGATGAGGAAGAGCCATGTTCTCTCCTCTACCCTTGCAAATAAACATTTAATCACAACAACAGTAATGGTGATGATGATCACAATATCGTGGGGGAGCTCAGGCTATAAGCCGAGCCCCACCCGAGAGGGAGGAAGTGGGGACAGAGAAGGAGCAATGGAGCAATGGAGATAAAGGTGGGGAGCAAGAGGAAGAGGGAGGGTGGCCCAGCGGGAGAAAAGGAGGCTGGCTCCTCATTCAGGAGCCGCTGGGTTATCCTCTGCCCGGGGTCGCTGGGCAGCCGGGGTGGAAATGTGACACGGAGGGTCCACCTTGCCCTCCCCGATGAAGGAGGAGAATCCTGAGCCCCTATAGCCCCAGCTTCTCCCTGGCCTTCACAGTGAGCAGCTCCCAGCCTGCTTGCTTCTCCAGGGGGCCTCGTGAGCTTTCTTTGGCTCTGAGTCCCCAAAGAGCCTAAGTGTCTCTGGTTCCAGAGCTGGGAGCTGGGAAGCTGGGTTCTAGGCGGTGTTCTGCTCACCACCTGTGTGACTCCTGCTCAGGGCCTCAGTTTCCTCATCTCTAAAATGGGGTTGGTCCCAGTGCAACTGGTTTCTTGCTACTCCTTCAAGTGGGCGAGTGTTAGGAAGACACTTCCTCCTCCCAAGCCAGTTCCAGGCTGTTCCCTGGGGAGTGTGCTCTCTGATCCCCAGGCGCTGGATGGCAGTGGGTACAGGCCTTAAGACATTTTCAAATGTGACCTAATTTCTGCCTTAAGCTCTCTCATTTAAACCAAAGTTGAGCAGCAGCCAGGAGGAAACCAAGTTTAGATTTGTGGGGTCTTTGGCCGTACCCTCCAGCTTCTCCTCTCCGGCTCCTGATGAGAGATCAGAATAGCTAACATCTTCTTTGGGCTTCTGTTTGACTCTCTCTCTCTCTCTCTCCCTTCTAAGGTGGTAGGAGAAGAGCCTTGGAGCTGTTTTCTCCTTGATGCCAGGCTACGCCAAGCGAGGAGCACGCTCCTCTTCTCACAGTCATCCACCAAGAACAGGCCTGCAGGACGTGGGGACCAAGACTAGAGCTTTGCCGTGCCCTGGCCACGCCCTGCCACCTGTCGGCATGGATTGTGCTGGCAACTGAGCATTGCCTGAGAGGCGGGGAGCACCAGCATGGTTCACCCTGTTGGCTGCCCTCAGCCACCCCGCTGCTGAAGCTGCCCTGGAGAGACTCGTGTGGGCTGCTCTGCCCACGCTCACCCAGGCCATGGGGCCAGGGGCCTGCCAAGGCTAGGAGTGAGGCCTGCCGTTCATGGGTCTCTAGGGATTTCTGAGATGCCTGGGAAGAGAGGCTGGGGTTGGTGGTGGGCCCGGCTGCCCCTTTGCCTGCTCCTTAGCCTTTATGGCCCCTGGGTGCCTTCCTCCCTGGGGAAGCCCAAGGGCCACCCCCACATGAATTCCATCCGCATAGACGGGGACATCACACTGGGAGGCCTGTTCCCAGTGCACGGCCGGGGCTCAGAGGGCAAGGCCTGCGGAGAACTTAAGAAAGAAAAGGGCATCCACCGCCTGGAGGCCATGCTCTTTGCTCTGGATCGCATCAACAATGACCCGGACCTGCTGCCCAACATCACGCTGGGCGCCCGCATTCTGGACACCTGCTCCAGGGACACCCATGCCCTCGAGCAGTCTCTGACCTTTGTGCAGGCGCTCATCGAGAAGGACGGCACAGAGGTCCGCTGTGGCAACGGTGGCCCGCCCATCATCACCAAGCCTGAACGCGTGGTGGGTGTCATCGGTGCTTCAGGGAGCTCCGTCTCCATCATGGTGGCCAACATCCTTCGCCTCTTCAAGGTTAGTGCCTGCTGGTTGGCCCAGAGGTGATCTTCCGCCAATGGCCCCGGCCCTCCACACGCGGGGTGCCAGCCTGGCCAGCTCCTTTCTCCTCTTCTCGTGCTGACTCCGAGGGGGTTTTTCCCTGGGAGCAGAATCTGAGCATTTGGGGGCGGTGCTGTGCTCAGAGCTTAGACTCAGCAGAGTGAAGGCGTTGGGGAGGGACCGAGTACGTGGTGCTGCCCGTGGTGCTGAAACCGTACCTGCCACCGGCAGCCCGTTGAGCAGCTCCGCTCCTCTGCGGGGAATTCTGAACCAAGACGGGAGAAGGAAGTGCTGGCGAGCAACAGAGGGGAGGAGGAGATAGGCAGACGGATATAAAAAGACAGACAGATGGATAGATAGAAATATAGGTAGATAGAAAGGTAGACAGATTAAAAGACAGACAGATAGAATGGAAATATATGAATGTTGGAGATTGCCAGGGAGAAAAAGCCAGACTTCTGTTTTGACATTGTTTTCAAATAATTGCAGTTCCCAAGAAAGCTACGTTTTTCTTCTGGGTAGTTGAGAAAGCCCCTCTGTGGCCCTCCCACTGCACCCCAAGATTATGGCTAGAAAATGTGTCCTGATTTTTTGGATGGGGCGTTCGGCTACTGAGCCCACAGAGGATGTAGCTGAGGTTGGGAAAAAGGCCTGGAGGGAGCAGGCGGCCCCTGTTTCTGGTGCCCTGGGCCCTGAGCCAAGCTTGCCCCGCTCTTTTCCTTCCTTCTACCCTTTTCTCTGCGCACCTTTCTCCCTTTCCTTCTGGAATCCCTCCCCACCCCCTCCTTGCCGCCTCCCTTCCTCTCTTCCTGGGGCAAGAGCTGCTGATTTGCAATTCAATTGGAGCCAAGTGCTTCGCTAAGCTGCTAAAACAACCGAAAGCTACCGGGTAGAGAGAAAAACATTACAAGCATTTTACCAATAATGGTGTGCCTGCTCCTCTCTTGGAGCCTCCCTCTTTGCTGTGTGTGTGTGTGTGTGTGTGTGTGTGTGTGTGTGTGTGTGTGTGTGTGTGAGAGAGAGAGAAAGAGGGGGGGAAGAGAGAGAGAATAGAGTGAGGAGGAGGGGCGCACAGAGGAAGCCGCTGGGTCCCTCCTTCACTCTGGGGTCAGATTCTCAGCCTTGGGAGTGGGCCCCTTCCCTCCTCAGTCTCCGGAGTTAGTGAGTGGACTCAGAGGCTGCTTGGCCCCACGGGGTGGGAAGTGCTGAGGCTGGACCTCTCTCGCTGGACCCTTTCTGGAACCCATTTGCCCAATCACATGATGCATCAGTACTTGGGGGCAGTTCTGTGGTGGGGGGGCCGGGGTAGAAGTGGGGATGGATGGTGCAGAAGGTCCCTGTGTTGGGGCACAGGGGTGGGGGGGTGGGAGGAAGAAAGGGGGCTGGAGTGGTCCTGTCACAGAGTGGCGTGGGGGTTGGAACTTTGCCAGCACTGCTCTGGGCCACGTGTGCCCTGTGGTCCTTGCCTTTGGGCCTTTTTCCTGGAGTGTTGGTTTTACTTGAAGGTCTGGATGAAAACACTATTTTAATCTTAAACCAAGTAAATGCATTATGAAGAATGCAAAATTAGGATGAGGCAGGAGACTTGAAGGAAACTTTGCCCTTGGAGTGGACAGTTGGAACAGTCCCTGGGGAGCTGTGCTGCTCGTGGTCACTCCATCGTGGGGTGGTTTGGGCATGGGTAGCCTGGTCCAGTCCTTCGGCCTGCCCAATTTGCAGTGAGGAGTGGAGACCCGGGAGGGGGCAGAGCGCAGCGTTCGGCCGTCCCAGGCCAGGGCCTAGTGATGGCTTGGCTAGCTGAGTCATGACATCAGCCTGCCTGACCAGGCCTGGGAGGTGAGGCGACTGGGCCATCCAGCAGAGGGGACAAGCCTCGGATTCCTTGTCAGCCTGTCTGGGTGGGGCACAGACCCCCAGCCTCTGAGAAGGCCCGACAACGGTGGGGCTCCTGCAGCCCCCTTATCTGAGCCTTTTATTCAATACCTTTTGTGACTGGGTGTTTCAGAAAGATGCTAAAACAGTCTGATCGGGCCCTTGGGGCTGTGACATCGGTGAGGGTCCCTCCCCCCATCTCCCAGAGGGGAGCCCCTGCACTCTTTACAGGGAGGTGGGAGAGATGGAGGAGTTGAGCCGCGTCACTTGACACGTGGCAAAGGCTCTAAGGAAGCCACTCTCAGTGCTGGGCCTTAACGTGTGTTCTTGGAAACGTGGACATTTTGGGATGAAGTGCCCCGTGCCCCACCAGGAGTGGGCTGTGACTTCTGTGCTCACCTCTCCCAGGACGGGGCAAGGGGCCCAGGGGCCAAAGTGCCTCCCCAGTCTCGGGGCTCCCAGCTGTTCCTTTCTGTTCCTTTTCCTCTGCCCATCTGGTCACATGAATGTGGCCGTGGCCTCAGTTTCCTCTGTGCCTCCTCAGATTCCAGAGAGGTGAGTGGGTGGGGTCAGGAGGCCCCCCTGCTGCGCAGACAGTGAGGTGGGACTGGGAGGTAGAGGCCTGGGGAGGAGAGGAGGATGGGGGACAGAGGGGGCACGTTGGGAAAGGGAAGGGGCGGGAGGTGGCGGCAGCTGCGGAGAGAGCCAGGGCGAGACAGATGGCTGTGGTCTGCATTCCCCGGGTCCCTTTTAACAGCGTTAATGTTCCAGGCTGGCGACAAGAGGGCTCCTCAATAATTAAACTGATAGAAATGAGAGGCTGGGCGAGAAACTTGAAAGCCATTTACAGAGGCAAAAAGGTTGAACTTTGGGGAGAGCGGAAAGGAGCAGGAGCTTCAGGCAGGAGAGGATGAGGCAAGGGCACCTTGGGGGTCCGGGGGAGCTGCGTTGCGGGTGTCTATTTCAGAGGGCGCCCCTGCGGCCCCAGCCCCGCTCCGCCCCCACCAAGGCTATTAGCGGGCCTGCTGGGCACTCCCACCAGAGGCTGTGATTACAGCTCTCCTTCCTCCAAGAGGTGGCTCTCCTGTGCGCAGCTCGGAGAAGCGCTCTGGATGTGGGGGCACTAGGGGTGGTTACCTGCCTGGACGCTGCTAACGGGGAACAGTCACAGCCGGGTGTGAGCAAACTCACAGCTGTCAGAGCTGGGAGGGGCCAACTCCCCGTCCCACAGGGGTGGGAACAGCCCTGATGAAGTGGCAGGGCAGGGCTGGAAGGCAGCTCCCCAGCCCCTAGCCTGGGCTCTTTCCAGACGGCCTGCCTGAATAGACTGGGTTGGAAGTGGCACTTGAACCGAGACCTCCACTGGGGACCAGAAGCCCTGGCTTTGGGACGTCATGGGTCTGACAGTTTATATCCCTCGCGTCCCTGCTCGCACCCCCTTCCTTCATTCATCTCCATTTTGGCTCCATTCTCTTAGGACAGGGGATATTGATGGATGTCAAGAATACCTTTTGGAGATCCTAAACCCAGAGGATGCGGCCTGTACGATGCTATGCTGTGGGGACAGCCTAGGTTCTGGAGCCATCCAGGCCTGGGTCTGAGTCTCTGCTTCTCCAGTGTTACCTCACCATATCCACCATATCTACCTGCCATATCAGTCATTTACACCCTAGTGTGAATGAGCCAATAACACCTTTTCCTGAGAGCAGCCATTGTAGGGGAGAGAAGGGACATACCAAGTGCCCTGCAAGGAAGCAGTTTTCAAATCCTGGACCTGCAAGAGCTCAGAAGGATCCAGAAATCATTTCATTGAGTACCTCATTCATTTTGCAGTGGAGAAGAAACTTGAGGCTTGAGGAAGAGGAGACGGCACAGTGTGGTGGTTAAGAATTTGGATGCTGGAGCCAGACAGCCTTTGCCACCTTGGCAAATTGTTTAGCCTGTTTGTGCCTCAGTTTCCTCATTTGTAAAATGGGGTTGATAATGGTCTCCTAGGCCAGGTGTGGGAATTAAGAGTTGATGTCCAGAAAAGGCCTAGCACGGAGCCTGGCACACAGTCAGCCCGTAGGAAATGTCATTGCACAGCTTGTAACCGGGCTTCAGTTGGCATAAGGGGCTCCATTGATGCGGAAGAGGCCGGAGCGGGTGGGCAGTGACAGACGGTGACCTTTGAGGCTGATCATTGGAGAGGCCCCACCATCTGCAGGGCCTCCATGTCTTCCTGCCGAGTTGAGACTGAGCAGCCAACTTAACTGTTGGATACTGAGAGTTTTTGTGCTGTCACAACAGGGGGGCCAGGGAAGGAGGAGTGGGGTGGAGTAGGGGTAGGAGGGGGCAGGCAGGAGAGAGGGTGGAGGGGATGCCAGCCAGCGGGCCGGTGGGCAGTGCCCCAGCTTCCCAGGAGAGGCTGAGATGGGGATGCTGGTGAGCAGTGTTAGCCTCTGTGCACAGCCTCCAGCCTGGCCATAGGGTCTCTTGACCCGCGCGGGGCTGTCAATGCTGCGAAAGTTGGTGGCGGCTTCTAGAGAAGGCTGCCGGCCTGGTGCGTGGCTTGGCTGCTCCCCAGCGCCTGGCCCAGGGCCCCTGGGCATACTCTATGTCTTGGCTAACGCCAGATGTTCTGTTGAGGTTGTGGCTTTTGTGTCTTCAAAGTGTTTGCACTGCACAACTAGGAGGAACTTGCGAGAGAGTCCACCGGTTCTCCCACATTCTGTCCGCCTTCCTTGAGACAGCTCTTTCCTCCAGGCACCCAGACCAAGACGCTCGGCGGCATTTTTGACTGCCCCCTTTCCTCTGTCAGCAAACCCTGCAGGCTCTCCTTTCAGGAGGACCTGGAGCTGACCACTCCTCGCTGCTCCCACCCCGGTCTCTCCCCAACACTGTCTCCCTCCTCTCCCTGCCTCCAAATGGGCCTCACCACAGCCACACCTTTGCTCAGCGGCCAGCACGATCTTTCTGGAAGCCAAATCAAATATGCTCACCCCGCTGCTTAAACTTTTTGTTGGCTTCCCATTGCCCTTAGATTAAAATACAAACTCCTAAACTCCTGCCTGGCAGAGAGCCCTGTGCTACCTGGCACCCCTGACCACATCCTTTCGTCTCTC